TCACACGTACATATATATATATATATATATATATATATATGTATTTATGTTATACAGTGAAAGCATAAAATTTAGCGAATAATACATATATATATTTATGTGATTTATATTTTTTAAATTATGTAGCATATTATAATTCTATTTCTATAATTTTTTTCCTACTCAAAACATTTTCTGCTAACCGAATATGGTTTGATGATCTAATTTTCATTTGTTCCTCATATGTTATCAAAAATTAATAAATCTTTGAAATATTTCTGATAATGATATTTTTGAGAAGATAATTGAACAATAAAATTACTATTGGATTTAATAATAAATAAATATAAATTTATTCCCTATGTAAGTTAATAGAAATTTTACGAATTATAAGGTTAAGATATATTTAGAAAATAATTGTTGAGGAAAAATTGAATATTTTGCAGGAAATTATTTTTCATTTATACTTTTAGTTACTGAAAATTTTCTAAATCTTGAAGTTGAAAAAGAAATCGTGCATGATTTTGATGAAATCTAGATTTTAAAAAGACGAATATAAAATTACAAAATGACACGCTCCAGATTGCTCATTCTCTTAATATCATAGAATACGTCACAAGTGCCAAGAGGCGCCTCGCGCCGTTTGACAAGCTAAACTACGCGTCTGACCGAATTAAGGCGTCACTACTTTCGGCCAATCTAGCTAAATATAACGCTGCAAAAAAGTAACTTTCTAGTCTAGTGACAAAACTTTGAATCAAAACAATCATAGCCGACTGACGTCTCTGTTATCAACATTTCAATTTCCTTGTCATATCTGCCGAGATTTAAATTCCAATAAATTTTTTAAAATTATAATAATCTAATCTATAATTAAAAATATTGGAATTTAAATTAATTAGAATAAATGGAATGTAGCATAATATTAGTGAGATATAATAAATATTTGTTATTAAAAAAAAATAGTATATAATTTGAATATGCAAATAAGTTTTTAACTTTTGATCTTTTAATTTGAATATTTTTAAATATATATATTACATAATAAATAGATTCAATATTGTTTTCATGTGAAATTCAGTTTCTTTTTTTAAATGTGACTTTTTATTTGTTTTGAAAAAAAAATATAGAACATTTATTATTTATTTATAGGTAGATTCAATATTTATAAACAATCAGTAATCTACTTGACCTTGCCTTACATTTGTGACTATTTCTATTCAAGAATTCAACTTGCATTTCTGAGATACTACATTTGGATACGATATTTGTGTCTATTAGTTGTCCAAACCTCTTTACTTAGATTTTTTATTATCTACTTTCTAAATATCACGCAAATTAAAAATTATTCAAATAAAAATTCAGATAAGTAATAAACTTTACTAATAGCCAAAGTTACAATAATATATGTTAATAATTTATTAAATGTTATTGATTTCTAAAAAGTTTCTATTCTCTGATCGTCTACTCGAGCAACGTCAAAGGAAACTTTTGATGTAATCAGACATTTAATATTTTCTGGGAGAAACCGCTTCTCACGTTTCACCGCAATGTGTCAAGCTGACTGTCTCCGCTTAATAGTTAAAGTTTCAACACTGAAGGCCGACGTGCTAAAGTTTCCTCAGACCCTGATACATTCTCGTGCACCTTTTAACGAGTCACGCGAAGCCATACAGAAGAAGAAACTTACTTGGAAAATTCGTTCTTTAACAAATTTTTAGCACGAAAATGAAATTGGTAGATAATATAAGATATTAAAAATCTATAAATCAAAAAATTTTTTTTTCTATTTCTATTTTTTCTACTTCTTATTTCAGTCAGAAGAATATATAACTTTTCATTTTCCAATTAACATCTTAGTATCTATTGATACTTTTGTGATCAATTCTCTATTCAATTTCTTTCAATCTAAATTTAATTAAAGATAATACAATTATTTGCAAAACACGCTTAAGATTAAATCGTAAAACATTCGTTCGATGAAAGATTGACATTTTTAAGGCACAATGTCTCGTTTAAATAATTTATACAATCTTTAAATTATCACTAACATTTTTACGATCGTTTCATCTCTTCCGATCTAAATTTACAATTTTAATACCGATCGAATTCTATATTTAAAATAAAACCTCCGAATAAAATTAATCTCTCTAAACCCAACCCGAAATACGAAACATTCCCAATCAATCGCGTTCGAAAGTTGGTCGACTTATCCAAAGAATCCGCAGATCAAAGCCAAGCCTTGAACAATTGTTCAATTGTGATACGTGTTCTGATTGATCGAGCTGGCAGGCGACAATGAAACAACAGGTAACAGGTGTCGGGGGCACCTAACGCTATCAGCTGTCATCGAGATTCATCCACGTGTCTGGCCGGTAGTCTGGCAAACGTCTCGTGTTATTCAATTCCCAATGGCCGCCATATAACGTATACGCGATGACGCACGGAAGTGGAACTCAGTTGGGTGAGAACATAACGCGGTTCTAAGCCAGCAAATGAAAAGTCACACCGGCCACGTATTTTCAATTTTTGGACCTACGCCCCGGATTATTTGCTTGACCGCACCGTGGCTATTTTTGGCAGTCATCTAGATTACACGCGTGCCCACCGAGTGTCGGATAAATCTTATTCGAAGAATGACGAGTAAAAAAAATAACGAATTAATTCGACCTACTCATAAGAAAGAACAAATCGAATTTGATAAATTTGTGAATTTTTCAATGAATTTTATTTAATTCCTCGTAGGAAAGTTCTTGATAATTTGTCCGTGCAAAGTTTTTCTTTCTCGAATTTCTTTTCTCGTCAAAAAGAAAAACGAAAAGTAAGGGAAACTTTAATAGATGATAGGAATAGACAAGATTTGAACAAGTTCTGAGAGGAATTAGTTTTATGCTAAGATGGAAGTATATCGTTATCTTAAAAATAATTCGAAATCGCATAAAAATTTCCAAACTATCAAATAATCAATTTCAAATAATCAATCCCGTGAAATAACAAACAAATTCGATCAAATCGATCTTCTGGATCCCATATGGAATCCCATGGACTCAAGGGTAACCGCGTGCTGTTTAATGGGTCATTATCGTTGCCGCGGGCATAAAGGAGTCCATTCCAATGGAGGGTTCGTGAAAATCGGTCAAAGTCAAACTCGTCGGCTATGCTGTCTTCGAACAGCTTGGATGTCCACCTGTTTCCGACTAAAAACGGACCGGGGCCCGGGCATCCTAAATATAGCGACCGCGAATCCGGGACTCTTACGTCACAAAGCATCGTTCTGCGGCTACGACCACCTAGTTTTTTTTTATTTTCTCTTTTCCTCTAATTACAAACGCGTGGATGTGTATATGTACTACCGCTTATAAGGATCCATAAATTTTGATCAATCTTTGGATCAAATATGTTAATTTTATCAAAATGTACAAATTCATGCAAGATTAACGATTAAATGCATTATTTATTGGTTTTGTAACGTTAGATTATGAATTAAAATTGATTGTTAAAAATTTATTGGTTATCTTTAACAATCTTATGGCCAGTTTTGTTATTACTATATAAAAATCAATATTATTATTTAATTATTACAATAGAATTGTATGAATCTTTGTATCATTAATTTTTATACTATTATTACTTCTTGAAAGTAAATTTATGATAGTAGTGTATTATTGAATATAGTATAATTATATATATATATATATACGTATATAAATAATACAATAGATTTTATCATGTGATACCATATTCAATAAAATAATTTGAAATTTATTATAAATAAGAATTTAAAGTACTTAATAACTTCAAATTTTGATAATATTTGATAATAATGTAAAGAAAATGAAAATTGCACATACTTGTTTCTGATGAAATCCTGAATATTGGAAGAATGATTCCATTAATGTAGCCCCCAGAGACACCTGTTAGTGTAATAGAATACTAGTTATTATTCTATTTTATCTTAAGATTGAAATTGAGAAAAGAAAATATTTAGGTTATTTTTTTGAATTATATGGTAGAAAAATTTCTTATTATAAAACATTTTTACTGTTAATTGTAATGCAATTATTATTAATATTAATTTTTATTAAAATATAATTGCACATAAAAATTAATATACGTTCATGTATATTAATATTTTTTTTATTTCGAATAATATTTTAATTAATTATCATGAAAAAATGCTTTATATAATAAAGTATTTAAAAATATTTAATAATATATTCTACAAATATTCTATAATAATACATTTATATCGAAACGAAATATTCAAATCTTCAATCGAAAGTAGCTACATTACAAGTTATAAAATTTTCTTTGTAATTTTACTATATTTATAAATATATCAAGAAATAACTAACCTTTTAATAGATGTAATTCATTTTGCACATTTGTTTCATTTAATTATTAAGAATTTGTTTCACTTAATTATTAAAAATTTAATTGATACATTATAACAAATTGCACTTCACTTTTTCAACCGAACGTTTAAACAACTATTTCAAATTCAGGTGTACCAACGTTTAAAAAACAAACATTCATATTAGTAATATACCAAACTTTTTAAATAAAAAAAAATTACTATTAAATATTAATGTACGTTATATTATTCTTATTTTCGATATTAAAAAGAAATCAATTGATTATTAAAAATTAGATAGTAAATTTTCGATTTTTTATAATAATTTTCTTTGTTAAATATGGAGCTAAAATTTAAGGTTGGCAGCAATTATACTATATAACAAAATCGCGCCAATATTTTAAATTATGAAAAAAATTTGAATATAAAGAATTTTTTCCTAATAATATTTACAAAATTCATATTATAAAGTATACAATATTATAAAATAATTATATATTTTAAGACTTTTTACATTTTTATATAATTATATATATATTTCCTTTACCTTTTTAATATTTCTATAAATTTGAAAATCCGTCAAACGTGTAATTATTTTGTTTCTTGTAATATTTAATCATAATTCTTAATAGTAACTTGAATAATATATCAACATTCATTAAGTTCCAACAATCAATTCAATTACTATAGAAATACGTTCAGTGACTAACCAAACTATGCAATTACGAAGAAATTAATTCGGTCGCCAGAAACAAGCATTAATGGACGAGGATTTAGATCACGTATTCCAAATTTATTTCCGATGACCTTCGATCGCTCTTGCCGAGAATGAAATAGGAATACGTGCGAAAGCGTTCGAATGATCCAGGGCGAGTATGAAGTACGCGCGTTACTAAATTTAGCGACACCATTGCGTCAACAAAAAGAAAAGGCGATGCTCCTGTTTGTGTCGCAGTCTTCGATTGGCTGATCCAAGCAATGCCGCAACCAATCGTAATACACGTAATACCGCTCGCTATTCGAAAACGGAACAATCAGGTTTTCGCATGATTATCGCTTCCGCATTTTATTTAATGAAATATTTCACTGATATTTAAATTTACATATGTATTACATATTTTTTTTAATTGTAAAAAATATAAACATTGATTGATATTATAATAATTAAAATTTGAAAGTATAATTAATTTTACATACATATATAAAGATATATGTTATTATATAATGAAATATAATTTCATAATATAAAATCTAATATCAATATAAAATATAAAATCAATATAAAATTTAATGTCAATATAATGTTAGTCTTTATATGGTTATATTGAATAGAATTTTTATCTGAATTTTAAATAGTAACTGTAAAGATACATAATTATATCATGTTTAACAAGAATGATGAAGAAATCGACCACGAAAAATGTGTGTACTATACTTAGAAAACGATAGAATGCCAACAAGCACCTTTGCGAATTATCATCCATAAGTTCCTTATTTTTAGCGCATTCAATGTCTGCTAGTATTACAAGCCCTAAACTGTGACATTATCATATTTAATACTCAATATTTAATACTCAATATTTATAATAAAATTAGATATTCAAAATATCTAATTTTAATATAAAAATTTTAAATTTTCCAATTTTAATATATATATAACTAACAAAAGATTTAATAATTAACATTTGATTAATATTTTCTTAATAATTTTAAAATTTATTTATTATTAATATAAATAATTTACGCCAAGAAAGAGCAATTCCTACATTATTTAAATCAAAATCATTTATTTTCCTGATATGAAATATATAAGTACATTAGGCGGAAAAATATGTTTAATATGTTGAAAGAGAAGAAAAAAGAAATAGAATTACTCACAAATATTACAAATATCATAAAAAAACTATTATAATTTAATTTATAATTTGTTTTTTAGCAAACGAGTGGTTTAGCAGTTCAGTAGAGCGGTAAAATGGACGCGCGCTTTAGAAGCAATCTCGACATGATTGGGCGCAACGAGCCCATCACAAGGAAAGCCAGATTCTGGCAAAGTTATGTTCGAGCTTTAAAAGGTAATCCATTGTTTGTTAACAAAGATTAAATCATTTTAAATCAAACTTTTTTCATTTCATTTCTTTTTAATTTGATTTTTTTTTTAATTTTTTCTTTTTAAATTATTCAATTTCTTTTATAATTTATGTTCATGTGCTTCCAAATCTTCCAGATTTATTGATATATGTTCATATTATCATTATTATTATTTGTATTTTATATTTCATAATTATTTAATATTAAAATGTATAAAGATGTAAGAATATATAACCTTGAAGAAATTCATGATAATAAAATTATTGATAATGATAGGCACTGATGATATCAGAGCCCCTGAGCACACACACAGACCCCGCAGTATTTTCCGCTCAGATTACCCTGAGCTGCATTCCACCTCGTGGCCATTTGGAAAATCTATCTTTGAAAATCCCATCCACGCAGCTGATCGCATCAACGTTCCTGGATACAGGTAAGATTATTTTAGAATTTCTTACCGAGACTACATAAAAATCAATACTTAAGAATCTTCTAATGAAATTTATAACTTTATATAATATATTATAAATTACAATTAAATTACAACTAAATTAAAAATGTATCAAATTAATTGATATTTCAAAGGCAGCAATATAATTAAGTAAATTATACTTTTCTGATATTTTTTTTAATAAAAATGAATTCTTATTTTATCAAGGTACCTGCCTGTTCACCGTGAGATCTACGGTTACTCACCGAGGCAGATCTACCCGCATCAATACAAACCTGTAGAACGCTTCATCCCTGGTACGTACTAAAGAACTCTGAGCAAAAGTCCAAAGAGAGTGAACGACGTCATAAAAACAAAAAAATTATATATAAAAATCATAAAAAAAAAACAAAGAGAAAGAATCGAAAAAGTAAAACGCGAAACGAAACGAAAAGTTTGGAAAGTTTAAAATGTTCTTGTACTACATACACATCTCGAACATCTACGAACGAGAGAGAGGAGAATATAACAAAAAGTAAAGCAAAAAAAAAAAAAAATAATGAAAGCAAAAAAGACCTGAGTGAGAACGAAAAAGAGAATGAACGAAATAAACGCATGAGAATGTGGAACGAAAGCATCATCGTCGCTGTACCATTGAATCCAATTAATATAACTGCTCGTTCTCGGGGTTTTCTTCCTTAGTTAATAATTTAAGTTCTTCTCATTAATTTGTAACCAAGTGTTTTTGGCTTCTACCTATTGAACAAATGAACAATTTAGAATAAAGTTCAAACAATTAATAATAATAAAATTAATAAATAAAAAAGAAGAAAGGCAATCGACAAAAATATTTTTGTCGGAGGTGTAAATATTCCAGAATTTGCGAATTTTCCCTCCAAAGTCTTTCTCAGAAGCCAAAAACGCCATCTTGGAGGATCCGTCTTGTATCCTTAGAAAAGCCCTCCACCTTTGCCTGCACCTCAATCGTGACTAAAAAAGAAAGAAAAAAAGTGAAAATGAGTAAAAAGAAACAAGAAAATGTAAAATATATGGGATGTTCTACCTTCACCCTTTTGAAAAAACTTTTGTATTATATATCATCCCTATTCGACATGTAAAATGTATATGCACTCTCGGACATATACGTATTTTTATCGTGTTAATTTATCTCAAATTCATAATTTAATTCTATAATCCGTGTCTCAATACCTCTTCACGTACACGAAACCATGTCATGATATGTGTAATACTAATTTATTTTACTCCATGCACTTTGTATCTAAGTTATTATACTTATATCGCTATATAAAAATGCATCTATACATACGTATAAATATATATAATTATATTTAAAATGTGCCCCAAAACTTGTCTGCCTCGCGATTATATAATTCGTTAAACTGGATTCATTTTTATTTTTCTTTTTAAAATAATACGATAATTATTTTTTCTTTTTTTCAAATGAAAAATAAGATTCAATTGACAAAAAAAGAACGGAGCACTTGACATCCACTGATGATCAACGCTCTACTGGTGTTCATTAGTGTTTAAATTAATATATATCATGATGAGATAAAAATAGTTTTAGAAATCAATTAACGATTAACTCGATCATGATAATAAAAAAGTTTATTAAAAATTATTTGAACGTAGATAGTATCAATAATCAATAATCATTTGTGATACTAGTATAATTTCTGTATCATTAAATCGATAATATAACATGCTACAGATCTTCATACAGACTAAATACAACATATGTTGTCTTATAATGTGAATAAGCAATTTTAAAAAATAACATAATTTATAGAAAATAATTTAGCAGCAGATATGATGAATTGATATGCTACAGTCTGTCGAAAATCAATTAACCGTTCAAGGTTGCTTCTTCCATTACAAATAATATAATTGGATACTAACGTGCATAACTTTCACATAATATGATATTATACATCTATAGCATTATGACTGAAACAAAATAAAACATATAAATTTAATAATATGATATAATTTAAAACAATAATAAATTATAAATTTTTAAAAAATTATTTATGTGATTTTATATATGTAGAATAATAATAGAAAATAATATATATAATTGAATTTAATTCCTAATAGCCTTGATTAATTAATTAATTTTTGTCAGACAAAATAATTTATATAAACTATAAATAATCTATATAAATTTTTAATGACAATAACAATAAAAAATTAAAAATTGTAAATAGCTGCTCAAGATAATGCCTATCTCTGTTTCTAAAAATCATAAATCTAAATGAAAATTGAAAAATTTAAATAAATTAAATGTAACAAGTGATCGACGCTCGTACTAAGTGATTGAAAATCCTTATAGAGGGAACATTCAACAGTGAATTAATAATTAAATTAATATAATTAATACGACCAATCACAATGATACGTTAAACATCGGTGGATGTATCTCATGTTGACATCATCAACATGAAAATATTGATGGATGGAAATGCCAACAATCTACGATGAGAAGACAGACAGAAATGTGGCCAGGCATCGTGGATCATCGTTCATCGATCATCGATCACACTATTATCATCATCATCATCATCCACGTTTCTGTCTTCCCACTTCGTTGTCCAGTTGAATGAAAACATCTCCAGCTAAGCTACTGTTCTCTAATGGAATATAAACGAATCGCATGCAGCTCTGATTCTAATTTCTTTCCAGGCACTAGACCCAACAAGTGGCTTTATCTCAATAATCTCGTCGATATGAGCAACCTTAGACGACAACAAATTGCACGACACTGGCAGACTAGAGAAACTAAACAGCGAAACACGCTTAGTACCCAAATACGACTTCGTCATTGCATACGAAGGAAGGATACTGACATTTTGCGCGATGCTAATTTACCTATCTTTTAACCCATTTTAATTCTTGGTATTTTCTTAATGTTGCATAAAGTCATATCTCTATTTTAAAATTTAGATTAGTATCTTCAAATAATTGAACTAATTATTCACTTTGAATCGTACATTATCAACCAAAAGCATAAAATTATACTAATTTTTTCAATTCAAATTTTGTAAATTTTTTCATAAAGAATTATAAAATGATTATAAAATGATTTTTCACTCATCATAATTATTTAATTAAAAATATAGTATATATATATACGTCATTATACATAATATATCATTATCAAGATTATAAATTACTTAAGTTATCTAATTTCATATCTTTTGGTTTGTATTGTACAATACGTGCAAAAGATACATAAAAATCAAACCCAAGTATATAATGGTTCAAATCATACTCAATGCACTTACTCGTGCCACGGTATTAATCCATTTTTCTCATCACCAACGAAAGCAATGATTTCACATGCATCTAGTGCTTATATAGTGCTTGGATTTCTCTTCATCGATGTAGTCAGACGATCGTCGAGAGAATACCACGACTTTCCACGATTCAACAAGAGCCTGAGAAAAGGAAATACGATCAAAGCCATCTCGAAACAGTGGCCAATACTACTTACGAATTGCTTATAATAAGCACGAGAAAGCTGCTGTACACTGTATATATATATATATGAAGTATTTAATAAAATAAATTGACTTAAGGAAGATATTGATTGAAAATAATTTTTCTATTTTTAATACTATAATTTGCTAAATTAATAAATAAATTATATTTTTTTATTTTGAATAGATATTTTTTCCTTTTTCAATAAAATTTCTTGAAAAAATTTATTTTTCTTACCATTTTTGGTGGTATTTTTTAAGATGGTTATTCAAATTATTCACAGACGAGTTTATATTGGAATGCAACAATATTTTTCGTTGCGTTTCGCTTGCACTTCAGATTTTTGATTTTTTATTTTTTGGTGTAAAATTGAAGGACTTTTCATTTTTTTGCTTTTTCGCCCATAATGACAAATAATATTTAGGAGACATTAATTATTGCAGCTGAGGTGGAGGTCGCAGTTTGATTACACATAACAAGCATTCTCAATAATCTGGAAAAGAATGAGATATAAAAAGAAAATAATAATAATAAAAAATTAATTTGATATAAATCGCAAAAGAAAGTAAAAAAAAGAATACAGCAGTGATTCGAACATAATTATAGCAAAGGATTGAATTTATATTTAATAAAAAGAAGATAGTCATAAGATTTAGAATTGAAGAGAAAAAAAAACAAAACAAAGAGAATGAATAAAAGAAAATTCAATATGGCCGCCAAACTTGAAAAAGCTGGAAATTTTCTCTCGACGCTTTCGCGTTTTTGATTACTGATTTGAATCCAACATCGTCACTTATCTCCACTTATTATTCAATTATTCGATTTTTATCTTTCTATATAATTTAATATAAATAGAAATAAAATAGAAAAGAATTGAACATAGGAGATGAAAAAACGATGAGGAACAATTGACACTCCAATTAATACACGCTTTATTACGCACGCGTAAAGTATTCTGTTTCTCCGACTAACAAATGATAATCAGCTAGATCCAAAAATTTCTATCTTTTTCAGGAAATGGCATGTCTTTTTTTTCTCTTATTCCAATCCCTTTAGCCTTTCCATTATATCAGCTTATGTACGATAATTGTGGATATTGTGCAAACTTATAATGCATTTATTTGTGTGCATTTATTTTATTTTAAATAAAAATTTTCTATTTAATACACTTTATATATAAAATTTTTTATGCAAATATCCACAAAATGACATAATATAATTATAATTCTTTCCTTCAATAGTGTCTAAATAGTGTCTCATAAATTAATCAAATTAAAAGTAATTTGACAAATTAATAAAATTATAAAGATGAATTGGTGATAGATTGTAAAAAAAAATTGATCTGTATTTCGTTCAATCTCGATGATAGCCACGACTTCCTAATAATAGAAATAATATTTTGGGGCGTTTCTAAATATTGAAAATCATTAAGCGATCTACAAGCAGTGTAGAAAAAAAAAGAAAAACATTTTTGGAAAATATCATACTTTTTATCTCTCTACTTTTATTAACGGAGAGGATGATGTGATTTTTTGAGGCGGTATTTTTCAACCTCACCAGGTTAGTATACTTTTTTATAGTTACGTGGCGTCGTGTTATATTTCATTTTTGTGAGAGCGTCTCGAATGTTTCGTTTTTCTCTTTTAGAAGGAAAGAATCGTGAGCTTCGATGGGCTTTATTATACATATGTATATCTATAGCTTGCAGATAGAGATAGAAACATGCACGGCTTGAAAGAATGAAATATTTATAAACGGGGATAAATCCTTGTAATTCGCACTTTGTACTTTTACTTATTGGTTTCTATCAAATTACAATTGAACATGATTTAACAGAACTTATTAACTTATTATTCTTTTAGTTGAATAAAATATTTTAGAGAGCAAAATACTTTAAAATAAATTGTATGGATAAAAAATGTTATATGATTTTTTATCTTTTTATTATTTTTTACTTATATATAATATTATCGAAATTATATCAAATTTTATTATATTCTCTCTAAAAAGTACTCTATACTTTTTATTAAAATTACTCACAATATTGCATGATAGCTTAATAATATCAATATTGCTACTAATGATAAAAATATCTTTTTTTACGTTATATAAATGCTTTAAGCTAAAATACTAAAACAGAGAAAATGAAGCGCAAATGAATAATAATAATTCGATATATTTCGGCCAAATTCGCGAAAAATAAACCGATGATACGCACGGTTTTCATATTAGGTGTTATGATCACATGTAGATTGTAGTATATGATAATTCATATAGAATGATTCATCGAAGAAAGACAATTAAAAAAGATGAATCTCAAATCTCTCTATAGTTTAGTAACATTTTTTTTATGTGAATCTGTTATTTTTTTTTTTTTTTTATAAAATATCATCAGTCCTTCTCGATGGAATATAAGTTCTTCTTCGAGTAAACAAATCTTGTTCTCTCTTTCCAAGATTTCAAGTCATTCTATTATATGAAAAAAAATTTATTAAAAATATTATAAATACTTAAAGTATTTTAAAGATTGTATTTCTTTTTTTACTCGAAGACAAGTCCATGCAAAAAATTGAATCGGATTTATAGTAAATTTGATTCGATTTTTTACTTATATTTTATATACTGAGATCATAAGAGTATTTTCAACAATTCATTGATAAATCAAATTGAAATAAAATTTTTTTAAATATCTATGGTAATATTACATATAAGATATAAATAATTATTTATTAAAGAATCATGATTTATCAAAGAATTTTTTTATAAGATAAAATTCTCTTGTCTTCTCTTCTTACCTTCATTTGTTTAAGCACGTAACATCGAGAAATTCGCTTTGTCTTCAATTACAAATCAATATTTCATATAACAACGCACGTTAAATGTTAAAAGTCACGTAATGCTTGATGAACTGTTGAATTCTCGATGTTGCATAAGTTTATCGATGCGTTTCTGTATAGATCAAACCCTATCGAACTTATTAAAAAATGCTAAAAAAAAATCAAGAAAAAAATTTACAAAGTATAAAAAATTCAGTATAAATATACTTATAAAAATTTTAAAATTGTTGCATTTTCATTAGGATTTTTATTTTATTATGTCTAGAAATATAAATAATTTTCTAAATCTAATAATAAATAATATGTATATCCAAAATGTTGCTCACAAATGAACTTACTAGAATAATTGCAATGAATATCCAATTATTTTGAGCCAACATCAAAAAGTTCAGAAGGGTGAGATAGACAGGGATGCATGATTGCCACGAGCGAATTTTTGTTTCATTGCCATGAATATCACAATACAGCGAAACCATTCGACCCTGAGCAAGCTTGGGCTGATCATCTGAATCGCTTGGCAGACATTGACAAGCTGTATCCAAGCAAATCGCCTTTGTTGGCTCGGCATATTAGCCCTCCTCTCAGTACGAAACGATTATTCGATATCCACGGTGAGTACCACTCGTTGCTTTAACTTCCTCTCTGATGTTTGATTTGATATAAAAGTTTTCATCATAAACATTGGATCTTCACACATAATTTATTAGAATATCAGTGAAATAAGTTTAATAACAAGTGTGAATAGTGAAAAAAATAAAGAAGAAAATTCAATTCAATTTCTGTTGCATGTTATGCTATCTCTTTGTGACAAATTGTTGAATATTTGTGTGAAGATTATTAATGTGAATATGAAAACTTATACATGATTTGGATTTTAGTGAAATCATAATCGAAGAAGTTATTATATTGATGTAGTGAAATGTTTCTATATACTGATTAAAGAGTTATTTGTTCTTTACATGAATAGAAATATCTTTTTACACTATTTTTTATACTTATTAGGTTATTTCATAGTTTCATCATTTGCTGATGAAATTGTGAAATATTTTCAGTCATGTAAATAATTTCTTTCTCTCATTTATTATTAGAATTTGTTTATTCATTATTTTACTTTATATTTCATGAATCTTTTTCTTTTTAAACATCAAATATTTTCACCATTCTTAAATATAAATTTAATTTGTTATTTAAATATAATTATAATATTTCTTATTTACATCTCAAAATTCAGAATATAATTATGAAATTTATAATAATATTCCATTAAATTATTAAAAAATCTTAAATTATTTATCTTGTATTTTTTTATACGATTCATTAAAATCTCAAATTCCATAACAAAATGTTATAATTATCGTATTGTCCAAGGTTAAAAAGATGAATAAAAACCTGTAAATGAAAATTACTTTTAATTTCAGGTAACTTGGTAACCGATTACGATTATTTACCATCGTTCCCTTCGTTGTTACGCAAGAAACCATTATTCGATCTCCTTGAGCCATCAGCAATGGCACCGATCAGCGCTTTCACTAGAGACCCATGGTGGTATCCTAGTTATGCTCCTTATATTCCAAGTTATGCTGCGAAATCCACTCCGTTTTATCTCAGAGATAGTTACCTAAGTCCTGTTAAACGTAGCTATCTATGGAGCCGACATCCCATCAGGCCTTTCGGTATGTATTCACTTTATCTTGTTATTAGAGATACTTTAATGAACAAAAGATAATTCTTTGTCTGAGAAAATAATCTTAAACTTATCTTTTAATAAAGTACGATTAAAAGTACAGAGTGTTATTGTTCTTTTGAAGTATACTATTAGTGATACATCAATTATAGATGTTTATATATTTAGAGAATATATATATGGAAACAATGTACAACAAGATAAATTAATTGTAATTTGTAATAATTACTTCATTTTTTTAAAATGAAATAAGTAATAGTTTTATAAAAACATTTATTTTTTTAAATAAGTCAATTTTTTCAGATAAAGAATGAAAAAAGATTAAAAATAAATTTGGAATAAACTATAATTCTTACCTTTATTTTCTTTTTTCATTATTTTTAATTATTTTTAAAAATCAATTTTTTTTGAAAAAAATCAAAAATTAAATCGTTGATTTCTCTAGAATTTAATAAATTACATACCATCACATCGTCTGCAAATGTCTGAAAACATCACATAATTCGTCTGAAAACATTGCAATCAGCATAATTTAATAAATTACAAAGCAAAACTTGTACGTAATACAAATTCAAAAATTTTGCAAACTTCTATTGCAAAATATCAACGAAAATACAAATATTTAAATACATAAGATTCAAAAATTTCTGGACAGTTACCATCTCGTTTTTCACATTCATAAATTCGCTCTAAATTCATCTTGAAATTAGAACATGATATAAATCAACAAAATGAAAAATAATGCATAAAACAATTGTTTAAAAAATTTTTGACGTTATTATACTTTTTCACAATAAAAGAACACGTAACATTGTTATCGACTATTTATAATATCGATATGCCAGCATTTAATTATTTATAAAATTTTACAATTATTTCAAGCAAATTTCTTTTCACGAATGTTCGATCGAGCGTTCAATTACATAATATTATAAAATAAAATTATGCTTGGCATTATTTGAGCAATTGTTTACTATTTGGCTCAAATGTATATATTGTTACTTCTGCGAATTATCCGCGAAATTCGCGGTAATCCGTGCCAAACGCGAACTTCCGGCTTCGAGCCAAATATACTTCTTTCTCTTGGTAGTCGATTAATTCACGTGTTGGCATCGCATTCTATTAAAATCCTATTATTTAACTCTATAACCATGTGAATCGAACAATTAATATTGCATAAAAGATTTATTATTAGAAACTCATTAAAATCTGATAGACTATAGAAATATATAATAGTTATTTCATACAAATTTTATTTAAGATGATTAAATGTAATAATAAAACATTATGAATTAAAAATTAAGTTAAATTTTTTTTGTTTAAATTTTTCGAATTTTTTAATAAAAGATAAAAAATATGAAGTTTATCAGAATATAAGTCTTATTTTTAAAAAAGCAGATTATATATTGTTATTTTACAAAAAATTCGAATCAATAATCTATTTTTTTATAACAATGACATTATGATAAAGGTAACACTTCCTTGGATAATCGGTATTTAAATATCATTATTGTATTAAGATTCAATATTTTCTATTCAATAATAAATCAATATTTTTTTCTAAAAAAAAATTTTTTTCTAAAAAAAATTATTTATAGATATTTGTGAACCAAAAATTGATAGTTGATTGAATTTAGAGATAATTTTAAAATTTTAAAATATACTTACAAATACTTGATTTTAAAATTTTAAAATATACTTATACAAATACTTGATAATAAATATTGTCAAAGATGATATTGCAATTTTTAATCTGGTTATTAATTCTGATAATAATGTTATTGACTTTACAGCATTGTTTATCTCGAAAAAATTTTATATCGATATGAAACTATTTATTTTTTCAATATGTATTTCGATCGATCGATATTCGTGTGAGAAATATCTATTCGATGTTTCTATACAAACAACTCAAATTAATTAATTCAAAAATGAACAGAAGTGATATGCAATTCGAATATATCTGTTATATTTCAGGAGCGTTATACTACTATTATTCGCAGCCAGTTCCACGATTTCACTTTACCCGCCCATGGTACAATAAACGTACCACATATTAAGAAACAAAGTGAGCGATAAAATTAAAATGTGGCCAAGTATTTCACTTACCTTTCATGTTATCCTTACATGTTAATTCTACCAACAAACAATCAGGAAGAACGATCACGTCATACTGCTATATATTTATACTGCTGTATATATTTCTGGCTACGATGAAATTTATTTATCAATTAACATGCAGCTAAACGTAACAAATATAACAGGACAAAAATGAAATTACTTTTAAATTTAGAATCATTACTATATTTCGTGCCATTTGGATTCGAGTAAACAAATTGAAATATCTGATTCTAACTATGTCATTATAAAATTATAAATTACTTACCTTTTTATAATCCAAAATGATCCAATTAAAAACAAAAAAGACGAAGAATTCACAAAAAAACACCACACATCTTGTCTGTATTTTGTACGTGACTTACGTGCCTGGATTTACAGCGCCCTCTAATAGGATTTTTTTATTTGAAACTTGCTCCTCTATGTATATTTCACTCAACTAATATGCAATATACAATTGTGTACATATCGACTGAATATTGAGGCATGCTCTACAAACAGAAACTTCTGGAATAAATTAATCATATAAAGAATATTTATTCTTTATTTTACAATTATTGTTTTCATAAATCCGTAGTTTGTGTTTGTAGATGATATTCGATATTTAACACAGCAGCTTCAGATGTCTCACGAGATATCGACAGACACCGGAAACACAATCCGTGTCGAAAATATTTTTCTTACCGTGTAAAGATATATTTCCTTTCTCTCCTTTGTTGAAAGATATTCTAATTCTTATTATGTGTACACCTACTATATCCTTTTTTTATGTTTTGAGAGTTCTATAGAATACTGTATTGTATTTTTGTATTTTAAAACATGATAAAAATTCATTCATTATTAAAAATTGTAAAATTATTTAAACAATTACATTCCAAAAGTTAGAACTTAGAACTCTCGAAGCAATATTCATTTTATTATATTTTTCGATTAATATTTATATCGATCAATTGATCTTTTTGCAGCTCACGCCTATTGATGACTGATCGTCGCCCCGAATGGAACGCGTGATACGAAAATAAGCAATGAAAAAAACCAAATAAAATTACGAAAAAAGATAACAAAAAAAAGATGTGAAAAAGTATTTACATCGTATCCTAAACAACTATTCGATATCTATTGCCTGATTATTTTTTTTCTCACAGTACGTATCATCGTTCACGGAGTTCTATTTATTAACGTTTCTCATCACCATGGTTTATTGTACTATTCGTTCGTGCTGTCTACGAATAAAATAAACACTGCCCAAATTTTACTACAAATCTTCTTTTTTTACAAAAACAATATGATCATATACACGCGATCTTATCGCTTCCTCTTTCTTATTATTCGCATTTAAACATATTTAATCTAGAGCCAAATGTTAAGCTCACGGAAACAGGTTTGTACAACAATATGCATGTTTATTATCTGAAAGTTTTACATCTTTAGGATGTTATTATTAGCTTATTCTGTCGAGATTCGATTAATGTAACAATAGCTGATTATGTGCACATAACTAGTATTATTATCTTGTATTTGACAGAGCATCGTCGAATCTCGACCGACCAGCCATTTACAAATATAATATCTATGTGTATAATTTACGAGTCTCAGACAAAACGCATATTATCGGGGGATCACAACCGCTTCTTTTACAATTAAACTTATATCGGGAACGGGAGAGAGAAATAGGGAAAGTCAATGACGAATATAAGGGAAGAAAAATGGCCATAGTTAAGTCGCCTTATTTAAATCACGTAATCAGTATACAACTTACCTAAATGCTAAAAAAAGAAAATTTAACTGTCACAATTTCATCAAATATGCCCGTTAATAAATTCATGTTTTTTCTCTATTTAACAATTTATAATAATTAATTCATTTATAATAAATTTATTAAAAATCTCTGAATATAAAAAAAAATTTATTATGATTCATCCTCGTTCCTTAAATAATAATTTTAATATAAATTATAAATATTCATATAAACGAACTTAATAATCGTTTTTAATCGTCTAACAATGCTTTAAAATTGATTTATTTCACTTTCAGATAATAAGTTTGATCATTTCATCATTCATTTCTGAAATTGTATAAGTTAATCTGATGATACGGTGTAATCTAATATATTTTTTGTTTTCTTTTTTTTTATTTTTTTTTCTTTTTTTTCAAATAATTTATTCTTTTATTTTTCATGTATTTTTGGTAAATATTCTTACTTATCTCTTATACACGTCGATATCAAATCGTTTTTGATATTTTTTCTAGATTTTCATTTATGTAAAAACTATTTTTTATATTGCACAACTTAACAGATAATTATTAAGTAATTAATGCAAAAAAAGTTTTTCTTAAAACAATTAAAAAAAAAGTTAATATTTTATAAAGTACGAATAAAAATGAAATATCATATAATTGTTATGTTATTTAAATACTTAATAAGTAGAATTAAATGTATAATATATTTTATATCAGTTAATTAATTATATATCTAAAAATCGAGTTATATTTGAAGAAATAAAGTTCAAAACATCTGAAAGTGAAATAGAAATGACAAAATCCGAGGACTTTCCTTTTTTATCCGTTAACAAATATGATTTACATTTTAATAATTTGGTACTTCGTAGATCGATTTAATACATATACTTTTATATACCTATTTTATCGCAAGATTAAAATCTCTCAATGATTGAGATTCTTTTTCTTAAATACAACTTTGTAATAAGTATATTTTGCATCTGAAATAATGTTTAATACCCATTTATTTCTTTCGAGTATATGTCCTTCAAATAAATGCAGTAATAATAATCTGCATAGAATCATCATCTTAAAAATATTGATTCTCTATTTTTTTTCTCTTATTTTTTGTTTTTAGAGAATTAACAATCTAATATTCCTACAACATATCTTAAACGTGCGAATACTAGAAATTAAAGTATTCAAACGTGCTTAGAGATATGATTTAATGATTAAAGAAAAAAATAAAATAGAAAAAAATATGAAGTGAAATGAAAGAATATCTATGTACATGATATAGCGCATTTCATTAAACAATAATAATTAAATCAGTTGCAAAGCAATGGCAATGATATTATTAAGATATTAAGAGTAATCAGCAATGTATCTAATAATTACACTGAACATTAAACATGGAAGCAATAAATAGTTAAAATGAAAATGATAATTTGAATTCCTTTTAAATACTAATGGCAATTAAAGGACCACTCATATTTAGAAGATACATATAAATAATTTTGAGAACACGGAAGTGATCCTTGATTCAAATGAAATGTATGTGAAACAAAAGTTTTTTTTTTTTAATATCTATATTAATTATCATATTAAGATGTAAGTCAAGGAAGAGATAATTTCTCTTGATACTTTATTCTAAAACATGAAAGTAATACTTATGGAAAAGCATTAACAAAGTCAGAATTACTTCTTTTTTTTTTGTTTTTGTTTGTTTTTAAACTTTTCATAACAAGCACTCGGGAGCCGTCTATCGATTATTTTTAATTACTAATCAGTCAACATAATAATTACTTAAAATGCTAGATTGAAATTATACTCGAAGGAAAAAATTAAACCTGCTTTTTTTAAAGTCTTTAACGATCACAAAAAATTCTCGACGATCAAATATCACTACGTGTCTCATTCATTCCTTTTGTTTTTTTATTTTTTTGTTTTTTTTTTTTTTTGTTTTTTTGTTTTTTTTCTTTGCTATGCATCTGTTTGGCATAACCGCTAGTTAGTGATAGAACATATCATACAATGTTATGCTCTTAATGTTCGCGCCTTAACAAAAATTTTGTCGCCTTATCGACGAGCTTCCTTAACTGAAGGAAAAACCGAGTACAAGGCTGTCATTTCTTTTTGGCTGGATTCCTTTGTGGTGTAGATGGTCTAGTGGCTTGACCCGTGTTCAAACTTAAGTACTGATATTTAGCTTTCTTTTCTGATGGTTTCAAAATCTGCACGTATACGATTAATAAAAATTAAACAAAAATATAGTATGAAAAAATAAATGATAAGTATATTAAATATTGATGAATTTTACCTGAAAACTGCACATTAGAGTTTCGTCGACGCTCATCATTCCTCCAGCATTATCGAATTCTCCGCAATAATTTGGCGCAGAAAACAAGGTAACTAACTGTCTTTTCGCAAAAAATTCATAGCCATCTTCGACTACTTGATGTGCTCTACATATTAAATCCATATCATGACGATTTAAGAACTTCGATACTACATCTGGACCAAATGTGAAAGATACACCTCTATCATTTTCACCCCATCCCTAGAACATAAAAAACAAAGTCCAAATATATTAGATTAAAATTATAGAAAATATCCAGAATGTATAATCAAATATATAATGAAAAAACATTACCTGGACTTCTTTATCTGGATCTGACCATAACAAATCACAGAGAAGGCCAGTATCAGGTACATCTGTCGGACGCATAATTCTTTTGATTTGTTCCATATTCTGTTGAATAAACAATAATAAATTTTTTTGCACTTTTTTTTTAAATTAATAATTTTATAAAGTAAATATTATTTATGATAAAATTTGATTGCAATAATTATAATTTTTACTAGAAAAATAAGAAATAATAAAAGAAAAATAACGTTAAGAATTTTTTTTAAACGATGATTCTTTTATGAATGGTAAAAATCAATAATTTATTATATAAAAATAATAATCTTTTGACATTCTAACCAGGATCAAACGTTTAATATTTTTTTTCTTAGGTTTATAAATAGAAAATCAATATTCCAACTGACAAGTTCTTTTTTAAATTTTCTTTCATAAATTAATATGTTACCGGGTGATTCTAAAAATAAAATATTTAAAGATACAGATTTTTATTATTGATAATTAACAAGAATCAAGATAATTATCAAGAATCCCATAAAATTAAAAGTATTGTTAAAATTTAGAAACATTAAAAGCCATCTATCAATTTAATTTTCATTTTTTAAATAAAAATTGAATATTAAATTTTTTTCATAAATATAAATTTCATGATATTATTTGTCTATGATTGTACTAGAAGCATTATAAAAATTTTATAAATATATTTTTAATTTAATATACAAAAAAATAATATTTAAAATTTCATTTGGATAATTAATATTATAATTTTTTTTATTTTATTTCTTAATATATTTCAAATTTTAACATATTTTGCGTATATTACTTTAACATTTTTTATTTCTTAATAAATATAAATATTCGAAAATTATTTCAAAAAATTTTGCAAATTATTTATGCAAATGTTTAATAAACCGATATTCATATTTCATAAAATAGTTGTAAGTTGTTACAAAATGTTCTTTAAGACTACATCGATCTTTAACATAACATTTCCGCACGTAATATTACAAACTTCCTGTCTAAAAAAAACCTCTTGATCAATATTTAAAAAATTTCTTAAATATGATTGTTAATGATTCTATAAAATTCTATAAATAATAGAAGTTATATAAAAATATTTGACACAAATTAATTTAAATTATTCAATTTTTAATCATTTCTGCATATTTTATACAAAAAATTTTGAAAACAATTCTCTCGAAAAATCAATATTAAAATCACCTGAAGATCTGGACTGAGACCTCCATGACAGCAAAATATCTTCTCATCGATGATCGCGGCGATTGGAAGACAATTGAAGCAATCGGTGAACGTTTTCCATAGTTTAATGTTGTACCGCCTCTTGCACTCGTCGTAGAACCCGTATATCCTGTTTATGCTTGCGCATTCGTGATTGCCTCGCAATAGGAAGAAATTCTCCGGATATTTGATCTTGTAGGCAAGCAACAAGCATATCGTCTCTAACGATTGTTTGCCCCTGTCTACGTAATCACCAAGAAATAAGTAGTTCGCCTCT